AAACCCCAAAACCCCAAAACCCCAAAACCCCAAAACCCCATTGGCAGAGATTTTGATCAATTTCAATGCGATTAAGTAGTATCATTATAATCTATTTATTAAAAACTATATAATGTAGTAGAAATCTAAACCTCAATGGAAAAGTGCCAAATTTGCATTGATGATTGAATTCAATCAGTGTGGTAGTGGAAAATAAGTCAAAAAGATTCCACCAAGTGACAAAGGAGAACTGCTTGAAAAATTTCTCACTGAGAGGAAGTTTAAGATTACAAGGATAAATCATAACCTCAACAAGTAGCCTGGAGAATAGTACTTGGATTACATAGAAAATTCATTCAATGAAGTTTATGAGAACGCTAAAGTTATCAGCAGACTGGCTGGAGAAAGTGTCTAAGAAGATAGTGTGTGCGTATTCGTTTATGTGAGATGCTTAGGTATCTCTACAAGCTCTGGAGAAATAGAAATATAAGACCCGAATGGCTACAGATTCTAGATAGAAAAATTCATCAAACTCTTCGCCATGATCAAGAATTGTGCAACATATATTTACTTAGAGTGTCCTCGTAACAATCCTTCAAATCTTTCAGCAACTAAAAAGCCATTGGAACAATTCAACCCTATCAATGCTGTTGGCTTTTTATTGGTGCAATATTGCTTTGCTAAGGAATCAGGGTGGGATTATGCAAATGATGATAAGAGACAAGCTCTATTACTTAAATTCATTCAAGCACTAGCAGCAAATTAAATTCCTGATTTTTATCAGTATGTTACCTCTTGGCAACCAGAATCAAATTTCATCGGAAAAATAGAGCTTTCAACAATCTTGGATCAAGCTATTGCTCCTATCAATAAGGATATCGAGGTTGCTGAGCAAGTTCAAATTGTTGACATTGACGAATAGGAATAACTTATTGCCAGAATGAAGGAGTTGGAGGAAGAAAATCAAACTTATTATGAACAAAATATGAAGATGAAAGAAGACTTAGATGAAAGAGATAGAATCATTACACAACTATAAGACACAATTAGAGAGCTAGAATAATAAGCTGATCATGACTAAGTTTCTAATCATTCACAGCAATAAGTTGCCAATTTGGAAGAGCACATTTAAACTTTGAAGGGAAATAATTAAAATTTAGAGAACAAAGTTTAAAAATTGGAACTAAAGAAAGAGAAATTGGTCAAAAAGCTTAAGAGTAAAAAAGATAAACTTAAAAAAGCAAATTAAGAGTTACAAAATCAATAGGCGGCATTTTCTGAGCAAATACTACAGTTTTCAATGAATCAGCACGGATTACATAAAACTCCAAGAGAATCGGGAAACGGAATGAATAGCAATTCCAGTTAAAACAACAGTAGGGATATAATAAATCCTATGAATGATCATCGGGATTAGCGCTTTGCCTAATATTAGGTTAATAATCGTAACTCTCTATATAGCGATCCATTCAATGCTGACGATAGCAAAATCAATGATGAAGATGATTAGTAAAACACACTCGATAAAAGACAACTAGAAATACTATAAAATCAAAAGAAGAAGGAAGAAGAGGAATAAAAATCTCAAGTAGAAGAAGATAGAATTAAATACTAAAGGTTTCTAAAAGAATAAGAAGAGGAGAGACAAAGAAAGAAAAAAGAAGAAGATGAGTAATTAAAAATTTTAATGGAAATTAAACAAAGAGAAGAGAGAGAAGCTTTTGTAAAGGCAAAGAAGTAAAAAGAAGATTTCGAGAGATGGTAGAGAGAGCAAGAAGAGTAAGAAAAACTTAGAATACAAAAAGAATTAGATGAAAAAAAATTAAGATAATAGTTTGAGAGAGAACAATTAGAAATTTAGAAAAGACTAAAAATAAAAGAATCAGAGATGGAAATTAAAAGAGAGATGGATTTAAAAAACTAGATGAAAGCCGCTTAAGATGGAGTTAATGGCTAGTTATATGTAAAACCTCATGGCAATTTCAATGCAAACGAGAGTATCGACCATGAAAACTTCTTTGAAGCTATTAAAAAATAGGGCAGTTTTTAAAACAATAATAATCAAATGAACCCGTAAAATGTAAGAGTAAATGAATATGAGCGACTGTCTAATGTAAATTAATAGATTTATTAAGATCTAGCTATTGTCGATGACATGGAGTTTGCTAAGAAACTTCAAGAATAAGAAATGGAATAAGAAAGAATAGACAAGGAGTTTGCTTTGAAACTTCAATTAGAAATTGATGAATAAGAATTTAATTAGTAGCAAATTATAAATAATCCTCAAATGAATCACTTTGAGGAACATAAATAGCCGATTTAAAGATAAGAGTAAGCTCAGATGAAGCCTATTTAAAATCAAAATGCAAATAATAATCAAAGAAATGAGATGCCGATCGCAAAACCTTAGTAGCAGATCTAATAAAACAATAGAAACTTAGATGATGATGAATATATTATTCCAAATAAAGATATTGGTTTTGATGTGTCTTAAATCGTTCAACCCAAGGATATTGATAAAATCAGAGAGAAAATAGGCAAGAAATGTATATTTGCGAAAATTTATGAATGTGATAGTGGGGTAGAGAATGGACAACTTATTTAATAATTATAGGGCAAACGTAATTTACTGATACTGGTATAAGCTAAAAGAAATAACGATAATGAAGTAATAGGAAGATTTGGTGCATTCATTTCAATTCCCTATATGAAGTGTAATGATGAAAATGAATAGTTTTTCATTGATCCTGAGGCATTTATTATTTCCCTAGATAAAGGCATGATTTTTGATTAGATCAAACCAAGGGAGGAAAATGTTGGATTTAGTTCATAAGCAATCATAATTTTTGGCAAACAAAAAGAAGGGAGCAAAGTACCAAAAATATAGTCGATGGATTTATTCCTCAGAGATTCAAAGGGTGTAAAGAAGAGTTCAAGTAGCCTCGGTTCATCATTCTAAATTCCAGAAGGAATTGACAAAAAAGAGGGTGCAAAGATACTCACAGGATTACTTCTATTTTCAATTGATAAAATAGAGGTATTCGAAGCGATAAAATGAGCTAGCTATAAGAAGTCTTATGTATATTTTTAATATATTAAATTTATTTTCCTCTCTATTTTCCTCACAAAATAAACCAAAGGGGTTTTGGGGTTTTGGGGTTTTGGGG